TCAGATCCCCTCTCAGCCTTCTCTTCTCCAGGCTGAACAGGCCCAGCTCCCTCAGCCTCTCCTCATAGGGCAGATGTTCCAGGCCCCTGATCATCCTCGTAGCCCTGCGCTGGCCTCTCTCCAGCAGCTCCACAACGAGTGCAACGAGTGTTTGCAGGGCCCTGGTGCTACCTGCGCGCGGTTCCCCCGGGACGCCGCGGCCGGGGGATCCTTGGGGATCTGCGGAGCTCGTGGGCGTGCGGGGCCGCCACAGCTCATTAAATACAATCCTTTAATTGGGAGCATCCGTGCACGTTTCCATTTCCAGCCTGGGAAGGAAATTCTACCCCGTCTGCAGAATTTGCAGCCCGAGGAAGCAAATACACAGGAAATGCAATTTGACCTACTTTATTTAAATTTGGCTCGTGGGCGTATTGCAGTTTGCATGGGGCGGTGGCCTTGATCTGACATTTATAAAAATCTCCCCTAATCCGGTTTCTCTGGCACATTTCCTTGCTTCTGAGCAGGGCTGGGTGGATGAAATACAGACACAGGGAAGCATGGCTCGGCTTCCCGCTCCGCAGACCAAAAGGAAGTTTAAATGTCCCAGTGGTGCTTTAACCCATTTAAACCCAGGCTTAAATATTGCAGGAATTAGTCTGCAGCATCTCCATGTGGCGGGTGATCTCTCAGCTGTGCTCCTTGCAGAAGGGGTAGAAGGAAAGCAGAAATGAAATTCCTGCAAGGAGAATTGCAGGCGGAGGCGTTCGGAGGCTGGGGACGGGGGATTGACCGTCCTCTCCAGGGCAACGTGGGCAAAACGAAGTGTGAAGGAACCGGGGGACATTTTCCACGTTGTGACCTAACCCAGCCTGGCATTTCCATCGCTTCCGCTTTCTAGATCCCTTTTTCTATTGTCACCCCCTGAGCGTTGCCCAACCGTCCACAGGCGCCTTCCCTTCCCAGCTACCAAAACCAGAAGTGGGAGCGTGACGAAACGGCTTGTCTCCAAACGCGCCAACGTGGGCCCTGCTCCGGCAGCGCTTCCCGGGGCCGGGCCCTTCCCTCCCCGTGGCCTGGCGCGGCGGTCCCCTCGGTGTCCCCGGGGCGAGCTGAGGACGAGCCCCCGTCCCCGAGCGTGTCCAGCCCCTGGCTTTGCCGCTCCGTGATTCCTTCTCCCTCTTTCCTCCCTAGCTGCCGGAGCAGCAACAGGAAGAGCTTAGTGGTGGGAACGCCGTCCCCGACCCTCTCGCGGCCTCTCTCCCCGCTCTCCGTGCCTACAGGTAAGGGGGGAGATGGGTTGTGGTCTGCCAAAATCCCTCGGAACTGAGGCTTCTTGGAAACTTGCTCTGGGAAGTGCACCAAAACGGGGCTGGGAGGCTTAGCCCAATTTGCCTGGAGGTTGAAGTCCCCACTCGGAGCACGGCTGGGCTGCGGCACCATCCCGCTCTCGTGCTCGTTCCCGCCGCCGGCTCTCGACTGGCAGCAGCCTCTGGTGGTCCGGGGTCCGTTCCATTTGTTTTGTCCATTGGCACGGGGCACGGGTTGGCCATTGCAACGTGCCACGGGAGACAGGGACTCGGACACGGCGAGCCCCGTTGTCCGCGGGGGGCAGTTACCCCGGCAGGCGCTTCCTGGCCGCAGGGAGCGGGTGCCTTTTCCAGGAGGGAATAGAGGGGTTGTCTGGGAATCCGTTTTCCCCCGGCTCTGGAATGCGACGGAGGCGCCGCGGGGCGGGAGCGCGCCGTCTCCCCGCAGCCGGCAGCAGCCCCCTGGACAGCCCGCGCAGCTTCTCCACCAGCACCTCCGCCAACTTCCCCTTCGCTCGCAGGTGAGTCCGGCTCCCTCCCTGCTCCGGGAGCATTTGCAGCTCATTCCAACGGGATGAGGCTCTCTGCAATTAGAAGCAGATGAGCTTCCAGCTGCAGGAATCGTGTTCACATGGTGTTTGTGGCTGTGGCCTTCAGGCTTGTGTTTTCTGAGCCAGTCAACAGCCCAAGAGCCTTTTCCCAGTGCAGTGGGAAAGAGGGCTTTTCTGCATCCTTTTATGAAGCAGAACAGGATATGGAAGGGTGTCCAAAGATCCCAAGAGCTCTCCCTACTATTTGCTTTAGCTTCATCTTTCCCTTTGCTCCTTGGAGCTTGCGAGCTGTGTTGCTGTGCTGGTCCCCAGGAGAATGCCAAAGGAATCCATGAGCTGGATCTGCTGCCTTGTTCTCAAGTGCTCTCCTCTGTCCTCCTTTTCACTGTTTCCTGTTCTGTTTTTATTTCCTCCGCCACGGTGCCCCTGCCCTCGTGCCCGGGACCTCCTGCTGCCCTCCAGCCATGCTCCTCGGACTGACAGGCAAGTACCGGCAGGAGCAGGGCCTCCGTGGGCACAGGGGCTGCTTCAGGGGGCTGTTTCCACGTGGAACATCTGTCCCACGACGCCGTCTCCCTCTCGCTCTTCCATGCACCTCCGGGCAGGCCGGGCCGGGCTGTGCTGGCTGCAGTGTCACCGTGGGGTTTGTGGCACTGCTCCCTGGACACAAACTACTCTGTTCCTGTCACGCTCTGGGTGTTGTGAGTTCAGCCCCGAATTCTGCCCCGCTCTAAACATTCCCACCACAGTCAAAGCAGCCCCTCAGCAGACATCCCGGAGGCTGGAAGGATGGAAGATCTTCCTGCTTCCCTTCCCCAGCTGATGCTGTTAACCCCGCTGGCGTGCGTGTGCAGGAGCAGATGCCAGGACGTTGTGTTTAATGTCACATGGAGGGGCAGCCGAATGACATTAATCTGTTGATGGTCACATGGGAAAAAAAGCTGGAGGGTTATGTTTAATATCCAGGCTGGAAACGGAGCGAAAAGCCAAACTGCTGGGCAAAGAGTGAGCCCAAAAGGGGCCTTGAGTAGCGAGGCCTGGTGCAGGGGATGGGGCAGGACCCGGTGCTTTGCCAGCTCTGCAGGCCTTGGCCCGTGAATGGCCCTGCTCTCATTGCTCTGGTCGCATGGGAAAGAGCCCAGAGAGGTGAAGGGCCTCATCTTGACCTGGACATTGACCTATCCGTTAAACACGTATCCGAGAGGAAGCATTCGCCTACGTCTAAGCGTTGGCCTTCCTGTTTACTGCTCGCCTCTGCTCTCCGTGGGTACGTGTTCTCTGTGAGCGCAGCTCTAGGAATCTCCATTTCTGTAGAACGCAGTCCCAGAGGCCTACATTTTACTCTAATTAAAAATCAGAATCTCACATTTTTTGCCTTCTGAAACGGATCCATTCAAGCGCAGCTGGAGGCAGAGCTGGCATGAGGCAGGAGCTGCTGGATCCCTTAGGATTTGTCACCCTGCCGAGCCCAGGCAGTGCCCTGTGACAGGGACCCTGCTCACCAGAGGGACGACACCTGCACGCTGGGGTTGCAGAACTGCCTTCCTTTCTGGAAAACAAACTCCGCAAAATCGCCACTTATTTCCTTGATTTCCACTCTGCTTGGAAAACAGGTTTCAGAGCTGTCCCTGACTTTCTTGTTAGAGCCAAACATGAGTCTCTTTCCCATCCTTATCTCTCCAACGTTATTTCTCTGTTTGCATTTACCTGTTTTTTCCTGTGCGTGATTCCTGTGTTTGCACTTGCAGGGCTGATGGCAGAAGGTGGTCACTGGCTTCGCTACCCTCGTCTGGCTATGGGACTAACACCCCCAGCTCCACTGTCTCGGTGAGCCTTGCTCTGAGAACAGAAACACTTGGATTTCAGTGGAGAGCCTGGGAGAAGCCTCCTAGGATCTGCGGTGCTGGTTCCTAGACAGCCCCTCTCTGGGGCTTCTCTGCTGACCACATGCTTTAGCTGCATCACGTTTTCCTAATGCGCTTTTAAGAAAGCTACAGAGTATTGCTAATGGCAGCAGTTCTTTTTTTGCATGAAAGCTTTGCTGCGTGTCCCTTTCGGAGCACCTCGTGCGCAGGTAGGGGAGACGGGGCAGGAGCTGCTGAGGATGCTGCAGGGTCCGGGTCAGCAGAGCGGGCTGAGCTGGGCGGGCTGGGGGCGCCTCAGCTCGTGTCATTTGGGGTCACTTTCCGTTTGCACGTTACTGACCGCAGCAGCTCTGCGCAGAGCAGCTCCGCTCGCTGCCTGTCAGTGTTTCCAGCCTGCTAAGAGGCTCCGAGGAGTATTTTCCTAGAGGGCTTGCTGCTTTCCACCCTGCTGCCCCGGCGCTGCCTCCTCACTCCCCACCTCTGTGGTTCTTTGCAGTCGTCTTCGTCCTCCCAGGAGCGCCTGCACCAGCTGCCGTACCAGCCCACAGCCGAGAGTCGGGTAGATCCCCATGCACGTTAGTCAGAGCCTGTTTTTCAGCAGTTTCTTGCCTGCTCGGACGTGGCTTTTATTTTTCCTGGAAACAGATGACCTCTGACAGTCAGGTTCCTTGGGCTGAGGTTTGAGAAACGGGAATTTGTTCCAGAAGGTCATTTTACAGCCTCCTCTGGAGGGGTCTCAAAGGCGCCAGCGATGAGGGGACCCGCAGGTCAGGCCACGTCATGGCATCTGCTCCGAGTGTCCCCGTGAGCTGTCCTTGCAGCGCGTGCGGCCGAGGCAGGGGCTCGGCAGCAAGGCCACCAACCTGCCCGGCCATTAAAAGATTAAAAACCCTCTTTATGGGCTTGGATTGAGAAGCATTCCCTATATTAAACAGAGCTGAGGGTGCATCTGCAGGCGCTGCCTTCCCTGCTGAGCCTTTGCCTCTCTGGAACAGGACCTGCATGTGGGTGCACGGCCTTCTCGGGGACCCCAGCAGTGCAGGTTGTGCAGGTGACAGAGCAGAGTGGTGGCCGGAGAGCAGAGGTGACAACTGCAATCCATGGGCCTGCGTGTTGCAGGCTGAACCCGCAGACCCCGGAGGGCTGCATTGTCCCCTCGAGGCCTTGCCCTGAGCGAGGGGCATTCGCTGGTCCAGTTTCTACCTGTCAAACACAGGGAGTTTTTGCATTTTGCAGGGGAATGTTGCAGTTGTTTTTTTTTTTTTTTGCCTTTTGCGAAATGTTCAGAGACCCTGTTTGTACCTCGCACTCACTGTTGTTTACGGAGGCAGCGTTGTTGCTGGCCTTGTGTGTTCTCCACTGAAATTTCATTAAAACCAGATTAACTACCTGCCAGATTTTGCAGGTTGTGACTCTTTCACCAAGGAGACGCTAGTTTTGTGGTTGCTGTTACTTGCACAAAACAAAAGTGGAGCTTCCGTGCCGAGTTAGGCCTCTCCTCTCAGTTGCAGGGAGCTGGATCTGGTTCTGATTGTGGTATTTATGATATCATGGTTAATGGGTTGCTGGCTGCTCCTGTGACTTGCTTTATGTAAGGGGATTATAGACCCACTGCTTGTGGCATGGGCCAGTGAGAGGCAGGGTCAGGTAAGGGCACATGGAGGAGAGAGAAAAGCTTTTTTTTTTTTTCCCTGAAGATCCCCGTTTCTGCTGGAGTGAAAGGGGGGGTTTAGTTATTGGGTTTTTTTGGTTGGTTTGTTTTGCTGCCATCACCAATGAATTGCATAAAGGCAAATACAGGAATTCAGGATGTCTACAAATACGTGCCTGGGTGCAGTTGGCTGCAGTCTAGGCATCTTTCCAGTGGCTTTGTAGTTGCTGTCTATAATATTGACATCACGGCAGGGACTGAAGCAGAAATTCTAGCATGAGAGGAAGCAAAAGATGAGCTATCTGTTTAAAATGAAGTGACTCATGCATTAACTTTTCAGCTCCGGAGACCTGGATTCGATGTGACCTTGGGTTTTTAGTGCCGTGCGCTTGGAGCCCCGGCTCCGCAGGAGGTTCCTGCTCCCTGGAGCTGACAACCCCCTCGTGCACGGGCCGTCCCCTGGGGTGCAGCTGGGAAGTGCTGGGGTTGGGAAGGCAGAGCGTGGCTGGAGGGAGCGCTCCGAGGCCCCGGGGCGCTCCCGATCCCGTCGGATCGGCGGGCTGGGGGAGGGATGCTGCTGGGAGTGCCGGCACGGGGCTGAGCGCTCAGCTCACGTGTGCGCTAACGGCCTGTGACACTCGGGATGGAGAGCAGTGAGGACAGAGCAAATGGTGGTGACTCTCCAGGGGCAGTAACTATTTGCATAGCTGTAAATGACTTAGATCTCATAATGCAACCCGCGTCTTCCCGCTCCTCCCTCCGCAGCCCCGGCAGAACGAGCGGAACGTTTGATAACGAGGTTGTGATGATGAACCATGTCTACAAGGAGCGCTTCCCCAAGGTAACGGCCTGGCCTGCAGAGCACAGCTCACCCTCGTGCCTCCAACACGTTCTGACAGCTTCTTCCCCAGAAAAATCACTTCTCTATGTTGGAAGATAAAACGTACAGATAGTGAGGGGTGTCACAGGGCGCTGGGGACACAGGAGCTAACTGGGGAGGCAGGGACAGATGGTTCTGCATCATCGCAGAGCCACATTGCCCTGCAAACAATGGTCTCTGGAGATCACGGGGGGCTTCTTGGTGGATGCCCAGTTCCAGAGGGGCCAGTGCAACCCGTGATGGGCATAGAGCTGCAGGAGCGGGCAGTTCCCGATCCGCAGTGCTGTTGGCCAAGCCCTGAATGTGGTTTTGGGTGCGTGTTCCCGGGTGTCACCGTCTGTTCTGCTTTGCAGGCCACGGCCCAAATGGAGGAGCGGCTGCAGGACACTATTAGGAACTTCTCCCCGAGCAGCATCCTGCCGCTGGCGGACGGGGTGCTGGGCTTCATCCACCACCAGATCATCGAGCTGGCCCGGGACTGCCTGGCCAAGTCCCAGGGGGCTCTCATCACCTCCCGCTACTTCATGGAGCTGCAGGAGAAACTCGAGAAGATGCTCAGAGACGTGAGTGTGGGGCAGGCCCTGCCCAGTCCTGTCTGCTTGGGGCAAGCTGGGGTGTCTGACAGCTTCTGCCTCCCCTCCTGCAGGCTCAGGAGCGTTCCGAGAGCGAGGAAGTGAAGTTGATTGACCAGCTGGTGAGGAAGCTGCTGATAATAATCTCCCGTCCTGCCCGCCTTCTGGAATGCCTGGTAAGAGGCAGTGGCTCCTGTGGTTAATGCACTTCTCTGCTCGGAGCTGCCGGCACCAGCATCCCGTGGGGAATTGCTCATTCACAGCACTACAGCCATTCCCTAGAGAGGAGAGACTGGATTTTCCCAGTGCAGGGTGGAGATGTGAACTTGTTCACAAGTTTTCTTATCCACTTTTAATCTGTTACATTTAATTTCTAAAACACTTTGATAAATCTGATACCAAATCCTGTGGTTGCAGATTTGATGGAGCTCTCTTTGAGGCCCAACTGGTTAGTAGTTCCAGCATTTTCTACAGCTGGAGGAGGCCGTTGTGCCAAAGCATCTTGCCAGCGCGGTCTCTGTAAGGTCTCCTCTCCTAGGCCAGGTCCTAGGGCTGCATTTTTTATCTACTCTTTGAGCCTAGAGGCATGATGCTAGAAAAAGGAGCAGGGTATTTAGTTTTCTCCTGTGAGCGTCCCAAGCCTGCGCCCCAATTCAAAGCGGCCATCGATGGGGCTAAGAACAGATTTAACTGTGCAAAGTGGAGGCAGGCTTGGTCCTTGACTTTGTTTCCCCCACCTTGTGTAGGAGTTTGACCCTGAGGAATTCTATCATCTCCTGGAAGCTGCGGAGGGACATGCTAAAGTTGGCCAGGGAATAAAGACGGACATTCCCCGATACATCATCAGCCAGCTGGGGCTAGTCAAGGACCCGCTGGAAGGTAGGGAAGCTCTTGGGCTTGTTGCTGAGCCGAGGGCTTGGGCAAGGGTCTCCAGCAGGACCTTGATTCCCAAGCCGAGCCCCGCACCTTCCTTGGGCGCCCTCCTCCTCTCCAGTTTGTTCCTTCTTCCCAAAGGGGAGATCAAAGGGTCTGTCAGCCCGTGACTGATTACCTGCCAAGGGATTTTACCTGAGCAATATGTAATATTCCTATGAACCTGGAGGCTAAGGCTGCAGTGCTCCCCAGGCTGCAGGCCTGCAGCTCCAAGTCTCCAGCCCAGCAGTTCTCATTATTGCTTTCTACATGTTCAGCAAAGTAGATTAATCTCAAGAACACTTAATCCATAGGAAGCCAAGGCCTTGGGGGAACTGTAATCCTTGAAGAACACGGCAATGACTATGGAAAAAGAGAATTATATAAATGTTTAACCTCTTAGCACTGTGACCTGATTTTCTCCATACAATAGCTCAAACAAAGCATGTAACTAAATCCCCATGGAGATCTCGGTGGTTGGGGTGAAAGAGCTTGTTGGGAAATTATTTTTGTGGGAGCTGAGCGTAAAGAAGAAGGTAATAACTGTCTTCTACAGAAATGGTCCAGCTGGATCACTTTGACAGTGGGAACACCATCACACCGGAGAATGATGATACCTGTGAGGTGAGCACGGGACTGTTGGTATTTCCCCCTGCTTCCTCCAGCTTTGTCCTGGGTCATTTCAGCCTCGTGTGCTAGCTTAGTCTGGAAGAGCAGCATTGGGATCATCCTCTCCCTAAGAAAGTGGCTGATATGTGGGCGCTGGGGTGTCTTTATGGGGAATATTCCACAGCTACCCCTAGTCTCTCTTGGCTGCTGCCGTGCCATAGGGAACAACCCCATCTGAGGCAGGTTTGGCTTTGGCTGCGGTCTGCAAAGCACCTCTGTGTTCTGCTGTGGGGCTCATGCACAGGGTGGGCTCAGGGACGGTCCAGTTAGAGACCACATGTGTGTGGGTGTGCGGACGGGCCGCACGCTGCGCAAAGCGCCCGCGGGCAGGGGGACAGTCCAGCCCCTCCGTGTCTCTCGTTCAGAGCCAGCCTTCGGCCGCTGCTCCGCGGAGGAAGCCCTGCGAGGGCGACTTCGAGACCATCAAGCTCATCAGCAACGGGGCCTACGGGTGAGTGAGGGAGGGCTGTGCCCCGGCGCCCGCGCTGCTCATGGAAGCAAAGAGTGGGGGGAACTGCTCGCTTCTCAGCAGCGCCAGCTCCTCTGGAAACGTGGCCAGCCCTCCTCTGTCCCATGTGTCCTGTGCGATGGGTCCTGCATGTTGGAGGACACGTTCTGAGGCCCACGTGGTTTTGCTCTCCCCTAGAGCTGTGTACCTGGTGAGGCACAGGGAGACGCGGCAACGTTTTGCCTTAAAGAAAATCAACAAGCAGAACCTCATCCTGAGGAACCAGATCCAGCAGGTGTTTGTGGAGAGGGACATCCTGACCTTTGCGGAGAACCCTTTCGTGGTCAGCATGTTCTGCTCCTTCGAGACGAAGCGGCACCTCTGCATGGTGATGGAGTACGTGGAAGGTGAGGACAAGGGCTTGAGGCCGCAGCAGGGAGAGGGAAAGGTGACACTGGCCAATCTTGAGGCCAACGGAGAGACCGATCATGATGTCTAAGCGCCAGCACCACCGCTGATGAAGGTGCTAGAGGTGCTGCTCACTTAGGAGAGGGTTTCCCACAAGTGCCCATGGGTGACGGCTGCTCCGAGGTGGGGTGTGAGGGTCTCCCTTGGTGCTGGGAGCCCTGCCAGCTTGTTGGGCAGTTGGGGTAACCCTGCCCGGTGGCTTCTCTGCCTTTTCCGAGCCCCACGTGCTCAGGAGGGGCCGTGTTCCCGCAGGGGGGGACTGCGCCACGCTGCTGAAGAACATGGGCCCGCTGCCCGTGGACATGGCCAAGATGTACTTCGCGGAGACCGTTCTCGCACTGGAATATCTCCACAACTACGGCATCGTGCACAGGGACCTCAAACCTGACAAGTGAGGACGTGGGGCAGGCCTGGGCACGGGGTGGGCTGGGGCTGAGCTGGGCAGATAAAGGGGAATGAAGTTGTGTGTTGGGAAGTGAATGCTGATGTCTAAAGATCTGGTTTTCTCCTGTACTCCTGCATCCAGCTGGGTTGGGGTGCTGGGAGGTCCTGCTCAGGACCAGCTGCAGCTCTGTGTGTTTGTCTTCTCTTGCAGTTTGCTGATCACCTCCATGGGCCACATCAAACTCACAGATTTTGGTCTGTCAAAGATTGGCCTGATGAATATGACCACGAACCTGTACGAGGGGCACATCGAGAAGGACACTCGGGAGTTCATGGACAAGCAGGTACTTCCAGGATGCCTGAGCACTCACAGCTTTAGGGCAAAGGATTCAGGCTGCCTGGGGCGTGTGGCAAAGACCCCAGGCCCGTTGCAGAGGCCTTGGCTTCCTGCAGAGGGTGCGGAGGCATCGGCAGCGCTGCTTGTTCCCATGCAGGTGTGTGGCACTCCGGAGTACATCGCGCCAGAAGTCATCCTCATCCAGGGCTACGGGAAGCCTGTCGACTGGTGGGCTATGGGCATCATCCTGTACGAGTTCCTGGTGGGCTGTGTCCCCTTCTTTGGAGACACCCCCGAGGAGCTCTTCGGGCAGGTCATCAGCGGTGAGTGTTGGCCGCGCAGGAGCAGTTTGCCCGCTTAGTTTGTCCTTTGTGCCCAGCCCGGCCCTTCCTTTACGTGCTCAGTGTTTCCTTGCTTGGTTTTGCACCCACGGAAGTTTTATCCTCTTCCCAGCACTCTTAATTAGACTTTATTGCAGCCACCTTGTGTGAGGCTCAGTTTAAAGTCACTGATGGTTTTGGAGCCTGGATTTGCTGGTTTGGGAGGCTGACTTTATTTTGCTAGTGTTCCTGGTGGATCTTCCTCTTGCCTGCAAGTCACTCCTGTGCCCAGCCTGGTGCCAACTCTCCCTTCTGCACTCTGACCCAGCTGTATTAGCCCAATCTGCTCCTATCAGCAGAGGAAGGACTCGAGACTTGTTTTCGCTTTTGTTTCAGATGAAATCATATGGCCTGAAGGAGATGAGGCCCTTCCTGCCGACGCTCAGGACTTGATCACACGGTTGCTGCGGCAGTGCCCGCTCGAGCGCTTGGGCACCGGTACGCGCAGCCGGCGCGCCACGCCGGGCAGGGCTGCGGCCCTTGGCGTGCGTGGGGCCATCCCCCTGAGATGGCTGCATGACCCTGGGCTGAGCACTGTTTGGGAGGTGCTTGGCACACAACTAGTTCATGTCAAGGCTTTTGCTTTTGTGTTGCAGAAACCAAAGTAAGTCCTGCTGTTTTAAGGTTATTGGATCCTTGCTGGCCAGGGTTTGCTCTGGGAAGCCAGAGGCTAGTGTAGGTTTCAGATCCATCCTGTCTTAGGCCGTTTGCTGTGTGGGACAGAGGGGGCCACATGAGTTGTTTTTTTGCCATTCTGGCTGAGAGCAAGAGCTGGCGTCTCGGGCTGTGCCAACGTCCTTCCTAACCCGCGTTTCCTCTGCGTGCCAGGCGGTGCCCACGAGGTGAAGCACCATTCCTTCTTCCTGCACCTGGACTGGAACGGGCTGCTCCGGCAGAAGGCAGAATTCATCCCCCAGCTCGAGTCAGAGGATGACACCAGCTACTTTGACAGTGAGGCCAAATCCATTCCCCTCCCTGTGCATCCTTTATTCCAGCTGCACACCAGATGCTCTGGCAGGAGATGAACATCTCTTGGATAAAGTTGGTTGTTTCACAACCTGGGTTAGGTCATAAAATTTAATTGTGTTTCCAAATCTCTCAGCCAGCATTTCTGTGGTCCTTGCTTTCAGCTCGCTCCGAGAGGTACCGTCACTTGGATTCAGAGGATGAAGAAACCAACGATGAGGAATCGTCTGTGGAGATTGGCCAGTTCTCTTCCTGCTCCCATCGCTTCAGCAAGGTATTTGGATCTGACCTCCTTGATCTAAAGACAGGCTGGGGGGTGACACGCACCTTGCTGTCCTGGCTGACTGTCCCGTGGAAGCCAGAGGAATCCTGCAGCACTGTCTGCTGCTGCTCCCAGGTTTCTGCTGCTTTCCAATTGCTGGCCTTTCTCTCAGGTTTACAGCAGCTCCGAATACCTGGCAACTCACTCCAACCTCAGCCTCTCATCCTCGGAACGGAGTCACAGCGAGGAGAAAGAGGACAGGACAGAGCGATGGGACAGGAGCTCGGGAGATGAGGACAAGAGCCGCCCCGTGGTCCCAGAGACCCGGTGAGTGCTGCGAGCTGGAGAGGACGCGGCTCGGAGGTGTTTGAGGGAATTGTCACATTGCCGTGAGCTTGCCAGAGGGTCACGGTGGAACACGTCCAAGCACGTGGCAGTGAATCATGAGCAGCTGCCTCACGTGGCCGCCGGGGTCCTGAGCCCTCTTCTCTCGCTACGCAGGCTGCGCGCGTGGACGTCCTGCAGCTCCACGCCGTACACCCAGCCCGAGCGCAGCCGCAGCCCTGCCGCTCTGACCAGCACCTACAGCCTCGAGACCATGCCCAAGTTTGCCTTCTCCTCGGAAGACGAAAGCCCCTGCCTGGCGCCTTCCAAGCCGGAGAGACCCACGTTTGTGCTGGGAGATCCCGACGCAGGGGGACCTGTGAAGCCATCGGCATTATCCGGTGCGTAGGCAGCGGATGCTGCTGTGGAGCTGCTTTCCCCACGTGCACAAGCTCTTCTGCACAGTCCTGTCTGGTTGTAGGTCCAGAGGGACGTTGCTTGCCCCGTGTGTGTCCTCAGCCATCTCACTTCTCCTTCCTTCTCCCCTCTGTACAGCTGATCTCGTCAGCCTGAACCGCATCCGCCTCCGGAGCAACAGCACTGGCACCAAGAACTCCACTCCCCGGGGCTTGGAGCCAGGCGGCAGCCGGCGTCTGAGCAGCCAGAAGGACGTGTCAGACAAGCAGAGAGTCTCACCGGGCAGCCGAGTGCCCAAGTCTGCCTCTGTCTCAGCCCTGTCGCTCATCATCACGTCAGGTTGGTGGGTTGTTGTGTTTGTTCAGCAGCTGATGCTGCTGGGGCAGCTGCTGTGGGGCTTTCCCTGGCCCCAGGGCAGGTGCTGCAGCCGCCTGGGAGGGTTTGGTGCCCTTGCCATGGGGCTGAGCACACAGTGCACTGCGTGCAATGGATCGGGTCTCCTGGGGCCGTGGTGCTGAGGCCCCCAGGATGAGCCCGTTCTTCTGGTCCTTGCAGACGACTTGAGCAGCGGTGCCCTCATGAGCCCCATCTCCCCCCACTCCCTCTCTTCCAACCCGTCGTCCCGCGACTCGTCCCCAAGCCGAGACTCCTCCCTCGCCATCACCAGCCTGCGGCCCCCCATCCTCATCCACAGCTCGGGCAAGAAGTACGGCTTCACGCTGCGAGCCATCCGCGTGTACATGGGCGACAGCGACGTGTACGCCGTGCACCACATGGTGTGGGTAAGTGACACGGCAGCACCGCGCGGCCCCAGCACGCCGATAGACACGGGGCGTGTCTGAACAGAGTCCCCACACTTCAATTTCAGAGCGTGGAAGACGGGAGCCCAGCCCAAGAAGCGGGGCTGAGAGCGGGTGACCTCATCACGCACGTGAACGGGGAGTCCGTGCTGGGCTTAGTCCACAGGGACGTGGTGGAGCTGCTGCTGAAGGTAGGCAGCCTGCCCGGCTCTCCGCAGCCGCTGCTTTCTAAACACAGCTCCTGCCTGTGGCCCCGCAACGTGTGGATCAGGCCCAGCAAGTCTTGGAGCAGCAACAGCTCCTGGCCGTGGAGAGGATGGGAAGCTCCATCCCTGGCACGGGAGCGGGGGCCCGGAGAGCCCGGGAGCGGAGGCTCCTCTCCTCCACAGACGATGCTCCCGG